TGCCTCTTCCACTTACCAGCTATGACAGTGGACCAGTTACTCAATCTTTTTGAGCCTTGGTTTCCTCTTATTATTGGCATAAGAAAAGGTTGCCATGAGGATCAAACAGGATGGCATCTGAAACTGTGCCTGAAAATACTCAAAAGATGCTAACTGTAATTCTCCTGCTAGGTTTCCACTCACGCACCATTCTCACGCACACTAACAAATGCTATCCCAGCAAATAGCATCTCACTGCCACTGGGTCCCTGAAAGTGTGTCTTCCCATGAGCTTCCCCACTCACTTCCTCCAAAGGATGACCAAGGTACACAAGGTCCTACCATCCGAGAGACCACTGATTTCCAAGTTAGCTTTTTCCTACTAAATTCAACTGCAAGAAGTTCAGATGTACTACAGTTGAAAGTGCAGGATCAATGTATGAATGACCATCCTCTCCCAGCATTTCCAATCATGTCTGGCCTGTCTTCGTATCACACTGAGATGTGAGATAGACAGTGACGGGATGAATGCAGAGCACGTGCCAATGGCAGCCAAAGAGCCCATCCCTGAGCCATCGCCCATCAAGCACTAGACTTGCAGCTGGTAGAATGCATTCCTCTCCATCCTTTTCTCTTTGCCTTCCTGGTGAAACATTTTACACCACAGAAGCTCTGATTAACCTTAAACTCTGTCACGTCAAATGTGTCTTGCTCAGAGAAATTGTGACATCTGAAATTCTGCTGTAAGTCTGAAGTCTCCACTTAAAGATTCAAAAGCTAGAAAGTAAAAAATTAAAAACTCCCAACAGGCAGTTGAAGGATTTCAATGTATAATTGGCAAAAGGGTGGTCTTATAGCTTAGATGGCTTATGGCTATTAACTGTAAAATGGGCATACCCTTTGAACCGGCAATTCTTCTAATAAGAATCTACCCAAATGAGATTATTGCACAAGTGTAAAATGATGTACCTACAAGCATGCTTAGAGCTGTAATGATTTCTAGATTGAAAAACTGGAGACAAATGTCTATCAGTAAGCCTAGAATAAAATCTAACAGACAACCTCCTCAGCAAGCTGTTTCCCTTCTTTTCTACCAGTACTCTGAGTTTCCTACACACGAAGTCCAAAGGGTTAGCATGAACTTCGACCCAAATCTGAAGCAATCAGAACATTGCCGTGGTCACGTTTTTTTTAACTAATTAATTAATTTATTTGGCTGGGACATGGGGGATCTTTAGCTGCCGCATGCATGTGGAATCTAGTTCCCTGACCAGGGATCGAACCCGGGCCCCTTGCACTGGGAGTGCAAAGTCTTAACCACTGGACCACCAGGGAAGTCCCTGCCCTGATCACTTTACCTGAAATGGTCCAAGTAGAAGGAAGCCAGGATTTTTTTTTTTTAATGATTTGTTTATTTGATGATTAAGTGAAGCTCTCTTTCTCTGGACAGTGAATGGGCCTCTAGAACCACAGCTATTTTGCCACCATGAGCATGAAAAAGAGGAGGAAAGAGAAAATTATAAAGAAAGAAATCCTAAATCCCAACTAAATCATGCCTGAAGACCCTACCTACTGGATTTTTCAGTATGTTCCTATTATCTAAGCTAGTTTGCCCTGGGATTTGCATTACTTGCAATGAAAAGCATCTAATACAACTATTCAGTCATTAAAAAGATGACATATAGGGCTTCCCTGGTGGCGCAGTGGTTGAGAGTCCGCCTGCCGATGCAGGGGACACGGGTTCATGCCCCGGTCCGGGAAGATCCCACATGCCACGGAGCGGCCGCGCCCGTGAGCCATGGCCGCTGAGCCTGCGCTTCCGGAGCCTGTGCTCCGCAACGGGAGAGGCCCCAACAGTGAGAGGCCCACGTACCGCAAAAAAAAAAAAAAAAAAGATGAGATATATTTGTTGACATGGAAAGATGCCCAGAACATGTCACTAGAACAACGTAGCAGATTACAGAATAGCATGTACAGCAAAATTCCATTTATTTAGAATTTTATCTGTATCTTGTGTGTGTATGTACGTGTGTATATGTAATAGATACGTGTGTGTGTGTATATATATATATACACACACACACACAGAGACAGAGAAAGACAGACAGAGACAGAGAGATATTCCTGGAAGAATTTTACTAAAATGTCAGCAATGGTTAACTGTATTAGTTCCGAAGAATTTTCCTTTCCTTTTTGTATTCTTGTATAGTGTTTGCTCTTGTACAACAACATGCATTTGGGGGGAGGGGCCGCAGAAAAATCCAGCTTTAAACAAAGCTGGCTATTTACCGATTCTGTTTCTCTCTAGTGTGAAATAAGTGGACGGCTTTGCCTCATATCCCTCTCCAAACTGAAGTGTTCCGAGGGGAAAAAAAAAAAAAAATTGAAGATGCTACCCAGGCACTCAAAATATTATTTCATTATAAAATTCCATGGCAAAGCAATGAAACTGCTTTAAGATCTGAATTTGTACATGCTGAAAAAGAAACACAGCCAGAGGTGCCTAAGTGTCTTTCTAGAAGAGTGGAAATAACATTAATCAAAAGGAAACATCTTCTTAAAGAAGCTGAGCACTTCATTTTCCGAAAAGGGAAAGCAGCAGTGGCGGGAGGGCAGGAGGTAGAGAGAGGGTAACACACGTGACAGTGAGCACAGAAAGCACCCAGGAGCGGCCGGTGTGGGGTGCTACCATGCTGATATGCAGAGGGTTCGGCCCTTGGCTGCTGCTGGACATCCATACCCTTTTCTCATGGGGAAGACCTCCCACCCCAAAACCTAACCCCACTCCTCAGCAGTGGAGGACGATTACAGTCACTTTAAATCACTTCAAGCCAACTAGAAAACTGGATGCTCTCTGTGAGCTTTTTCAGTTCTAAAGGTATAATTTAACCAAACATATTACATAAATTGTTGGGAGGACGAGGATTATCTGAAAGGTCCAAACACCACTAGGACAGAAACATCTGAGCAGCTTAGACTTGGCTCGAAGTGACATCTCTGAGAGGAAGAACTGGGTTAGAAAAACGTACCAAAGGCAAATGGGAAACAGAAGTCAAAGACAAAAACCGTGATCTGTTTATTGGTGATTTTTACTACAGCTTGTAGGATTTTCTGACAATAAAGTCTCAGAAACTCTGGCTCTAAAATCAGTTAAGTGAAGTAAACATCTCTTTGAAGTAGCAGGAATCTTGTAGATATAAGGTGACTCCAAAAATACTAGGATGGTTGTTTTAGAAGTTAATTTCCTGCAGTTGTTTCTTTTACAATAAATTACTATACTGTACCTACACTGTATTTCATGATAATGCCATGGCTCACAGTCAGTCACCATTTAATTCTGGGAGAGTCCGAATACTCCACGAAAGGAAAGAATCAAAGATAAACACCACCCATAAAACTGTCTATATTACACATTTGCCTTTGGGATCAAGTTAAAGATACATCTCTGGAAAGCATCCCTCCCACTCAAAATCACAAGCATGCCCTAGGTTATCCATTTGTCTATTCTGTGTCTCGTTCTAATTCATCCCACTTGGATGGACTGTTGGCCGCCTTCAACCTGAAAGGGCATCAGAATGAGAAAGAAGACACTGAGTGGTTCTCACACCTCAGTTCCAGTAAGAAACCCCTTAGGGACCCTCTTCAGTCCTTCTGCATCAGTATCTTGAGGTGGGCTTAAGAAGCTGTACTTTTAATAAGCATCCTACATAGATCTGAACAGGGTATGGATCACCCTTTGGGGAAGAGTGACGTAGGTTATTACAAGGTGACCAAATCACTTAACAGATCATCAAACCCGATTAGATGACTCTCCTTGGATCATTCCATTCTTCTCCACATCTATGGTCACTACTCTTGCCCCTTGTCCAGGAGGTCATCACCACCACCTCTCCCTGGAGTTGACCCCAGTTTCCAAGTTGGTTGTCTTGCTTCCGCTCTTGCCCTCTCCGATTCCTTCTCCAGAAACTTGCCAGGAAGATCTTCCACACTACAAATCACACCACGTGACTGCCCCCGAAACCCTTCAATAACTGCTTAGTGGGTAGGGATTTCCTTCCATTCCTGGTGACGAAAATGTTTTAGACACAGGCGGCAACTGCACAACACTGAATATACTAAAGGTCACTGAATCGTTCACTTTAAAATGGTTCATCTTACGTCGTATAAGTTTCACCCCAATTTAAAGAAAAAGAAAAAAGAAAAACTTTTCAATGGCGCCCCGCGGCACTTAGGCTAAAAGTCAAAGTCCTCAGCCTGGCCTGGTAGGTCTGGCATCATCAGGCCCTAACCTGCATCTCAGAGCCTTATTCCAGCCACTATCACCCTCACTCTGCACTCCAGCCGCACTGGCTATCTTCCAGTGACTCTTTCTCACATCTGGGCCTCATACATGGGACCCTCCCCACCACCTCGCCGTGGGATAACCCCAATCAGCCTTCAGGTCTTAATTTATAAATTACTCTCCCATATAGGCCTTCCCTGACCACCCTCATGGTATCCTTTCAGAGAAATCTGGTCTCTTCCAAGAACTTATCATGAGCTCCAATTACATAATGATTTTTGTTTTACTGGATATTTTTTCCAGTAAACTATGGACTCCCAGGAGGACAGGACCGGGGATTTTTGTTCGCTACTGCATTCCCAGCACCTAGTGGGAACCTGGAAACCATAAATACCTATTCATTTGGCACAAAGATTACGTAGCATGCTTTGCTCCAAAAACGTTAAATCTCTACTACAAAATGAGTGTCGAGCTAGATCACAATGTGATGGGAGATTTAAAATAGATATGTCGACATTAATAACTAGATGAGAAAAATCAGAAACTACTGAGGGCCAACTCAACACAGTATGGAGAACACCCACCAGGCACAGAAAGCAACCTCTCTGCCTGCTACAGCACCTGCTTTGCGTTTCTGGACAGAATCAAGTCCCGGATGCTCAAGGAAATGCCTTTTAAAAACTCTCTCCTTGTGCCACTGCACATCGCTGAGTAATAAGGAAAGAAAGGGAGGCTGTACCTTTGCAGAAAGATGCAACTGAACTGGGTGAAAGACCAGGCTTCAGACGGATGTCAGGAGAAACCGCGGGCTGCCCTCACGTGGGCACCACTTTCTTGAAGGAAAGTGCGTAGAGTCCAACCCAGGAAGAAAGGACCTTCAACTCAGTCTGTTCTGAGGGATTTCTTTTTAAAGGGAAATAGAGGAGAAACTCACATAAGAGCAGGCATAATTGGTATTTTGTTACTAAACAAACTGTTCTTCAGTGATTATAGGTGTGCCGAGTGATTTATTCTTTCCAATCTTGCATTTGTATTAACTAGAACCCTAATTTGTCCAAGTGGCTGAAGTGTGTCTTAATTACTTGCCTTCAAAGCTTATGCCCATTTAAAATAAGCTTATTTCTTTTCCATTGTCAGCTCACCCAGAGCCACCGAATCCACAGTCCTCCCACCCAGCTCTCAACACTTGGGATCACCGGGCAGAGGAGAGGCCAGCGAGTGGCCCAGCTCCAAGGAGATCCATCTGTGCAAAATCCTGTGCACCAGCTCATAGAACATTCTCCAGCCCTGTTCCCCCTGCAAGGGCAGGAGAACGTCAAGACCTGAGCACATTTACCACCTATGCCATAGGCTATTCTTCTACTTAAACTCTTTTATATAGTATATAGTATATAAGTATATAAGTATAATTTTACACTTAAACTCTTCTTTCGCCGAAGCTTTGGGCTTTCCCAAGCCCCAGTCCTTAGACCTGGTGGTGAATTTAGAGTAACCCCATGTGTGCTGCAATGCCTGAAGGTACTGCTCCTGACATCTGAGGATGGGGCACCTACAACTGGGTTGTCTGTGCGACCTCTTGGCATCTTAGTCGGAGAGAGCTCGAAAGCCTTCTCCTTGCTCCAACTCCCAGCTCTCTGTGCTTGGCTGGGGACCCCCCGGAGAAGGGACAAAGCTGCCCGATGCGGCCAACTATGGGACCAATATGGGAGCAACCAACAAGACTGCTCTCCGACAGGGGGAGGAGCCTGAACAGAGTCCTTAAGGTAGTGCGCGAGGCCACCACGCCAGCTGGCCACCAGCTCGGCTTCCTCTGACGTGGCTTCTAAATCTGCTTTAGCCTCATAGGTGCTCCTTGAGTCCTGTTCCCTTCTTCCCAAAGCATCCTTATTAACATTCTTACCAATGATTTTGTTAGAGAACCACATACACTTCTATAGGAGATGAGGTGGAGAAGCCTGATAACACATTTAGAAAGCACACTTGTGCAGGAAAGTGAAGTGCCGGCAAAACCAAATCCTTAGGTAGCAGAGGTATAACCTGTAAACCAGAGGACATTCAGGAATGAGTCATGAGACCAACATGTTAATACGGGCATAAGGATATTACACACGGAGGTAAGGTCAGTAAGAACCACTGGCAGAAAATCAGGTAGAGATGGTTAGTAACAAGAGGAGCTCAAGGACAGACTAGCAAGGACACTAGGAGAGGTTGCCAAAATGCCGAATAAATTTGACAAAGGGAAATCAGTGCTTGGAAAACCAGAGACTAGGAGGGGATGAATAGTCAGTAAAAGGATGGAGGCTCCTGGTGGGAGGAGTGACGTTCTAAATGCAGGTACTTTCTGCTACGATTGGAGCTGGCCAGACTTTTGCAGCGGAAGAAGCCAAAATGTCAGAAAGAGGAAAACGTCATCAGAGTGACACCATGCCCACGCTTTCCGGACCTGGGGACTGTCTAACTAGGAAAATAGGAATCTCTTCAAGTATTTTTCACGGAGGAAATTTACGAGAGAGAATTGGTTACTCAGGTGATGGGGGAGCAGAGAGCCTACACGTGACAGTGAGATAATCCAGAGATCAGCACGGGCAGGTAGCTGCCGCCTTGCCTAGGCTGACAACAGACAACGGAAGGAGGGGCTGCTGCTGGAGTCCACGGGCCAAGGTCACTTGTGAGCAGCTAGAACCAGAGAAGGTCTGTCAAGCGTGAGTGGTGCTACCGGAGAGGGATTCCCTCCGCCCGGGAACGCCGCGCAAAGCTGGAGGAAAGAAAAAAAATACCCTCCCTGGCTTTGCCCTTCTCCCTGCTGTCTCCCACGTGCCTTCCACGGGCTGAACACAGCAAGCCAGCTGACTCGGAAACCTGGGTGAACAGCCTGCAGGGGTGAGCCTCCGGCACACGGAGGGGAAGGGGGGGAAGGCCAGGAAGCCTGGGGCAAGGACCAGGAGTCACAGCGAGCTGTAATAAGCAAGCCTCTTTCCCAACAGATACACTTTTAAAAGGTTTGTTTACTGCCATATAATGGTCACACAGGAATAAATTAAGTGGAAGCCGGCCGGACTGGCCTATTGACCTTCCTGCTGCGTGCAGGTGACCCTGAGCTATTCTGCACAGTCCCCGAGCTGCACGGGTTGGGGGATTTATTCTATAGTAATACCCTTTCTTCAGTTACAATTAATTCAGGACTGGTCTTAAAAAGTGCATTTTTTCCCCCAAAATCCTAGGGGAAAAAAGGTTCTTTGAAAAAGTTTTAAAATATAAGTATTTAATAGGAGAAAATATACGCATGCACGCCTGGGCCCACACACCCACAAATGAGTACAGGTGAAACTGGGGAAACCTGACCAAGACTGGTGGACCGCAGCGATCCATGTCCTGGTTGTGATGCTGCCCTATAGGTCTGCAAGACATTACCACAGGGGGGGAAATGGGTAGAGGGTACACAGGCTCTGACCATGTTATTTCTGACAACTGCACATGAATCTGTAATGATCTCCAAATCAGAAGTTTAATTAAAAACTATCACAAATATGTGCCTGCTCTTCTAAATTAAGGCCTCTTCCTTGCCACCGTGTTTCACCCATAGTGTCTCCGGTCTGTGCACTCACAAGCGCAGTGTTTCTACCGTCAGGACTCTTATCTCCCGGTGAAGCAGGGCCCAGTAAGCTCTGTGTTGGCCCCCTCGACAACTTCTCAGAATTCCGTCTTCTCTTTGTCATTGGCTCAGTGCTACTTTTGCAGAAATATGATGGTGCTAGGTTGCTCTTGTTTGATTATTCAGCCTTTGCCTTTCTGACTGCAGACGGAGCCAGGACCTTAGTCTTCATGCACGGGACAATGAGGAGACTGCCTGATCTTATTTCAGATCAGCTAACAAGCCTTAACCTGCTCATTTCATGATTAAGAATTCATTTCAAAACCGCTCTCTTTCTGGATGCATGCTTCCCTTCTCCCACCCTCCACACCCTTTGATCTCCTTTGGGAGCTGGTGGCCTAAGAACAGGCAGGAGAAACTGCAGAAAAAAGCCTGGCACTTTGACAGACCAAGAGGAAAGAGCCAGCCCACTACCAGCTACCACTCATTCACTCAGCTAAAATATAGGCTACGGGAGAAGCGGGGAAAACAATAGATAGGAGTGCCTGCTAGGTCTTCCAGAAACTGATGCTGGATGAAAATCCCTTCTTAGCCAAGAGTATGACGGGAAAAAATCACTATTCATCGCAAAATGGACATGCGCCACAGACGTCTCTCCAACTCTCCTCTACCACTCCACGAATCCCGCCCGTAAAATATAACTTTCTTCCTTTAATGATCTGGTGGTAAATTATTTATATGCTTCAGTTTATCTTTCTGTCTTCTTTTATTTATGCCCAGAACTGTACTACTTAACTCTAGAGAGCCTGACCACGATTACAGACAAGGCAGAGGCGTCTCAGCCCTTTAGGGCGTATCGAGCTGGAGGGACAGCAGGCCAAGCTGCGGGTGGAGGACTGATATCTCCGCCTTGGGATGAGCTAAGCGAGCACGCGTCTCAGGCCTCTTGGTCCTGCTGACTTTTCCAGCCAGCTTTCCTCCCAAATCATTCTTGCATCCTTTCCCCATCTCCAGCCTCCCAGCCACTATCTTCTCGGTTTGTCTAGGCACCGCCATCTCCTAGCTGGTCTCCATGCCCCCAACTCTTCCTCTATCAATCCATTCCCCACACACCTGCCGGCAAGGTCGTTCTCAGCTGCAGATCAAGAGTAACGATGCCCTCACCTTAATTCTTCAGTAGCTCTCTATCACCTGAGGCCAGAGTGCCCAAATTTGCCTAATGAAGAAAACCAGTGGGGGCATTATTTTAAAAATAAATGAAGCAGATTCTTCAGTATCTTACGTTGGGTTTCTCCAGAAACAGACTTTGAGACAGAATTTATTTACTTTTTTCTTTTTTTTTCTTTTGGCCATACTGCGTGGCATGTGGATCTTCCCTGACCAGGGATGGAACCCGCACCCCCTGCAGTGGAAGCGTGGAGTCTTAACTACTGGACCACCAGGGAAGTCCATGAAAGAATTTCAATGCAAGCTATTCATCTGGGAGGGGATCCTAGGAAGGACTAGTACGGGAAAGGAAGGCAGCCAAGAAAGCCCAGGTTATCTAGCAGACAGCCACCATGGGCAACATCATCAGTCTCACTAGGGGATCCTGGGACACAGCGCAGGACACACATCAGTCTCTGCACCTGATGGGCCAAGATGCTAGGGTACTGCCACCCAGCTCTCTTCAATCATTGGATGAGGTCCACTCCTGAGGCCATCTAACTTTGCTGCCCTACAGCTGCCCCACATGTGACAGAGAAAGCCCTCAGGTGGAGAACAGTAGGTGCTTGCAGAAGAATTCTGCAGATGTGCATGGGAGCAGTGAGCATCCGAGCATATGAATGTGTCTGCTCGACTTGGCGTGTCCCTGGAGAGTCTGATTCGGGGGGCCGGGGTTGGGACCCAGGAATCAGTACTGTGGCAAGAACGGGAAGATTGTGAAACACTGACCCATATCATAAAGTTCAAAATCTTTGATGGGTCTTACTAGTTCTTCCATGGTCTGCCCCCTGCCCTGCTCTCCAAACCTCCTCCCCCTTCCCGCCCCCCACCCGCCAGCACAGTCACTTGTAAACCACACTGAATTTGTGCACTTCCTGCAAGTCTTCCCCGCAGGCAGCATATTCTCTGCTACAAGCAGGAACTGTGCCTTAATAATCTCTATGATCCCCAAAGCCAGATACTATGCCAGTCATATAGTAAATGCTCAATAAATGTTTGTTAAAGAAATCATCCTAAAAGGAACTAGTACGGTATTACTTACATAGGTTCTGTGGACATAAGTATCTTCCCTGTCTCTCAAAATAGTAGTAAAATGAAACAAGTATCTATTGAGCACCTAATATACGGAAGACACTCAGGAATCCCTCCAGAAAAGCTCTATAACCTTTGATCAGCATACACCTTAACAGACACTTGCTGCTACAAAACTGTGAATTAAACCCTACAAGCGAGACAAACAACGGAGGTAGTGGTGGAAGGGTGAAGGATGCTTTACGGGGAATTGGAAGCCTGTCAGGCTTTACCCTACCTGGTGATTCTGCCAGGGCTGTCCCCAGAGACACGGTCGCCCTTCACATACTTCACAAAGATGGAGCAGGATGAAGAAGAAAGTCTTATTTCAATGCCACTGACCTCTCAGGATTAAGACTTCTTCCAATCACCAGAAATTTGGTACCTGGGACCTCGATGGTAACTCTGGGCTCTATCCCTTAAATGCACAACAGCTTCTGTGGTTTTCAAGCTACTCAAGGTGCACTCTTACAAACCAAAGCAGAGGTCTGGACAGTCGGAGTCACTAAAGACCTCATCGGCGGCTTTTCTCCCCGTCTGGGTTGTTAACCACAGCGCCCTGGCCACACTCCAGTCTGGATAATTACACTGGGGCGAACAGATTTCACCCTCCAGCTCCAGCTAAATAAAGTATTCCTTCGGCCCAGCTGCCGTTACCTTTGTTATGCTGCTGTGGGGCTATTAAAGTGCTCTTCTGTACTTAGGATGGCTGTATTTGTGCAAAATCAATACCCTTGGTATAACTTTCTACACCGACAAGAACTATATTCCAAAATATCCCCGGCTAAGTTAGTTGTTTTGACATGTTTTTATACACGGCCAGAAACAATTAGAAAAGTAGTCACTTCTCCTCCATTTCCCCAACTTTTGCTATTCATGCAGATACAGACTGAAATATTTGCAGCATCACATAAAGGAGGCGGCAGGTGCATACTCCACAAAATACACACTAAGTGTCTACCACGTGGCAGGCTCTGTTGCGGGTACTGTTGTAAGGGTCATGGGTTATGTTCTCAGCATAAACTTGAAATTTTTCCAAAGGGAATAATTCAATTTAAATCTTCCTCTGCTGCTACGTTTCTGAGAATCTGAATACATCAGCTTTACTTAAAATCTATCACACACAGATCTCCCAATCAAATACTATTTCCGTCTACTCTTTAGAAAA